AATGTTTTGGAAGATGGGAGATGGATGGCAACGCCCGAATTCCAGGCGGCCGATAATTCCACGACGTAAAAAATCATCCACATGCTTCCTCTGTGTCCTTATCCCACCAGTACGTTCGGATTAGAGGCGGCCGATAATTCTACGATGTAAAAAATTAATCCAATATAATACTATCCTTAGCGGTAGAGTTGCTGAGCACTGGTAGTTCGGTCCGAGGTTCGAATCCCACAAACGGGCTGGCTGCATGCCAGTTTTTCTTAGAAAGTCCTCCACGAAGGCATCCCTTCCCTTAGGTAGATAACCCTAGTGTGCTTCGACATAATTAAATAAACCAAACCAAACCAAACCTCTGCGTCATAAATAATCAGTTGTGGCACTGAGTGGCTTAAAGAACGCAGGTTAACAATTATACATCTTTGCTATCATTCCTTATATACACTTCTCTTACACTCTCGTTATTGGATTTAGCTGTCGGCGTTATCTGATGGCTTCCTGTAATTTGCACATTATTCTTAAAGATGTGTGGGATAATCTACAGATGAAAATTTTGCTTTAGTGTTCGATTTACCTGTAATTATGAATTATCCTTAATTTGTAGACATGAGTGTAGTTACAGAAAAGTTATGAGTAGTTGATTAGTGAACTTTTGCAGACGTCCTGACGTCCTGAGCAGTTCATAACCAATTTTTTGCCATTTACTTATTAATGCTAAGAAAGTACCTATTCACATGTGTCTAATTATATTAAATTAGTTAAATTCCATTGCTACTTTGAAGGACATTTTTTTCTCTCTTTAAGGTTATCATTTGGTTAATGTTATCAAAATAGTCGTGGACAAACAAACTTACATTAAGCTGCGCCTACTGCATTTCTCTTCCTTGGGGACAAGGGTGCAGTTATTATTCTTATGTATTTAGAAACAGATTCTAAATTTCCAGGCTACAGTTTCAAAAAACTGAATTAACCTAAATTCTGGTATTATATTCAATTATTCGCGTTTCATAGAATTCCCAGAATCTACGAATACCCGGAAAAGTAATTTCATAAGTCTTATGTAATTAATTACGAGTCAGAGCTTTTTAGGGGATATATTAACATCTGTTTTCCTTCTTGATCATCCGTTCTCGACAGTGATCCTCCATAAGTCTGAACACAGAATATTATTCATTGCTTTTATATCTGATTAGTGATTAACTCGAAATCTACTTCGTGCTGATCTCTTGGGAGAATAAGTTTTGTATTACATAATCAGTGATTGCTTTTAATTATTTTTCTGTGGAAATGTTACTGTAAAAGATCTTTGTTTTTCCGTTATTTTGTCCTTAAGAATAGTTTTATACGTTGTTTGAAAATGAAAGCTACAGGGTTTTGTTCGCTTTGCTAATTATCAGTTTTAAACCAGTCTTTCAGTTGTAGATCTTCCCAAAAGTATAACGTTTGGAATATCTTTCAAGAATATTAATTCTGTGTTCAGGAGGGTTCTCCAAACACAAAACGTAACTTTTAAAATAAAACAGCTTAATTAATATTATTGTAGATTTTAATGTGTTCAGGTATCATCCAAAGTGATTAAACTCATGGTAGACGTTAAAAGATTTATCGCTAAGTCTAATAACAACAGAAACTTAAGAAGGGTGTAAAAGACCCTTTATTTAAATCTAAATAAGAGGAACAGAAGTTACTACTGGTGTTTACAACTCCGCCAGCACTTATGACGAGACCTCAAAGTAACGTAAGTCAGATGCAAGTTGAAGTTTCAATAATTAGTAGCTGAAAGCTACACAATATATTTAAATATAAGCGTACTAAATATAAGCGTACTAATTTGCACTCTGGGGGGAAATCGGAAAGGGGACAGCGACTGTACAGATCTAAACCATAAAATAACTGTTTAATCAAAGTAAAGCAATCTCACACTGTGTTTGTCATGCTTCAGTAATTTAAATACGAAACAGGTTACTAATTTGGACATAAAGTTCGAAAATATATATGTGCAAAAATATTCGAGAAAGAATGCAATGATCTGCTATTTTTCAATGCCTGTTGTTAAGTAATTTTAATATCAGTTTGATTCGATTAAGAGAGAAATTGAAATCAAAATTTCTTGGTTTAGCAGTGAATAGTTCCATATTGAGTAAAACATCATTTTTTACGATTTTCTAGATAACTCTACGAAACTAATAATTAATAATATGTCTATGAATTTAATACATAACTATATATAATTTTTACATTTAACGTAAGGAAAAATAATGAAAATGTTTTCTACCGAAACGTTTGCCTCTATGAAGGCTATTTAAAATTTTAACTAATATATTTACAGGATCCTGCAGCCCTTAAAATGATGAAACTGCAATGAAAGCACTTATGTTAGGAAATTGTAGTTTGCGTTAAATCCATTCACATTCGGATGGATAAATTTTATGATTTTAAATGAAAGCCTACGATGAAGGTTTAGGGATATAAATTTCTTTAAAATATTTTTACAAACTCTCTGTATACAAATTTGTTGTATCACTGTAAGGTTTATCTAATTAAGAAGTTATTTTTGTGCTAATTATTTTCTGCTTTTCTTTTTTTCTAAATTGGCCTTTACCTATTTCAAAACATTCGGCGAACTTTGAAGTCTGAAATTAGGTAACGCCGTGTAGGTGAGAAAAGGGATTGTGAAAATTTATCCATCAAAAGTCTAGTCAAAGAAGGAAGGGATAAAATCGAAGCTCTGCAATAGTAATTTTATTTTATACATGTAGATTTGAGTTAATTAGGAACTTCGGAAGTAGCTTAGACAGTTTTTATACATTTTTATTTTTGGATGAAAGCTACAAATTGTGGTACTAAATTTTTAGCTATTACCTTTGCATGTTAACAGAAGTTTCGTACATACATTTATTTAGTTTGCAATGCAATACTTCGTCTAAGCAAGACAAGGGTAAACAATGTAAAAAAAGGTTAAGTCACATTTTATAAATACATCGAAATAAGGAATGAATGGTGCATATATAATATTATATACGCATCTATTAATAAAGTTTGTTAGAAAACTATAATGTATCCAAGAGAACGTTTTACGTATTTTCCTATTTTATGGCTGAAAAAAGTAAATTTAGATTTTTAACAAATCAAATTTCTTTCATAATAAAAACAAAAATCAAAGCATCAAATTTTTAAAAAGGTATAATTTTTTTTTTACTTCTTCATTGCTATTATACAATGTTAAACGATAGAACCTTTCTTTCTGGCAAAATATCTTCCATCTTCTGCGTCTACTTAATTACATTGGTAAAATCTGTTTGTTTTATTCCCGATTGTGTGGAAACTTTAAGAATAGAATAACGAATTTTTCTCATGAGTGGAAAAAATTATCTGAAAGCTGAACTTTCGGAGAAAATTTTATAACTGACAGAATGGTAGAAAATTATCACAGCAAGGTTATTATGGTTGTTTTCAGTAGGGGAATGCTTTTTAATGACAAGAAGAAATTTTCAGATTAGACTGTAGGATTTTATGTTAATTAACAATTATAATTTGAAATTTTAGTATCATTTCTTTCCGTAATCCTCATCAGAATGCAGATTAATTGCAGAGTCTTTAAGCAGAGGGTAGGAATATTTTAGAGCTTCTGTCATCGTCGCTTGCAGTTCACATCCTGTCGCCAGCTGAGCTATAATTTATTGCGGTTATAGCCATTTTGCTAGCCGATGTTAAAAGTTCACCTTTAATTACTTGAGACAGTTTAAGAAAACTATTTACATGTAGTTTCCAACTACGCTACTGGAATTTAAATTTCCACTTTTGTTATTTTAAATACTCCAAAATTGCAAAGGCTCATTCTGTAGAATAAAGTAAGGCCTTTTATTAATTTCAAGAATTAATAAAAATGTTATTTTAACCTTCTTCAGACTTTGTCATTTTGCTTCAGACAAGAGGCCCACTCGCTTATCAGTTGTAGAGTTCCTCACTTTGGAATTCTAAGTTGATGTTGGAAGTGAAGAATCTAAGAACTGATAAGCGAATAATCGCTTGAGTTCGGTGACGAGAAACAACAAGATAGAAGAGTAACTAACCTTTTATTATTCCAATAAGATTTAACAAAACTCCGCCTGGGAGTGTACAAGCAAAGCCCGCACTTGGACTTGAACTTAAAAGACTAAGAATTAAACTAAAACTAAGATTAACTAAAGAAGTATAGCCGAAGCTATCAAGGTTCAAATCGAGGTGGCCCCTTAACTTATTTGACTACGAAGCTTAGCCAGGGACTGAGTACGGCCGACCGTAATAACAGCTTTGAGAGGAAGTGTGTCCAAAAAGGCAGACGCGCGTAAATCAGAAACTCTGATTCTCTCTGATTCAGTAAGTAACTTCGTGGTTTAAATACCGCTCCTCCTCATTAAATATTCAGCAAGATTCCAAAAGTACGTTCTGGCCGGAAGTAATAAGTTGATGTTAAGAATCTGACAGGAAAAGAACTTTAACTTACAATTTAACTATTAATAAAATTAACATAATCCTTACACAGTGTAGTAGGTTTTGAAAGACCTTGAATTAAACATCTATACACTCAGAATGTTATAAGGCATTCATTATAAATGCCAGCCTTTAAATATAGATGAGTGGCACCGAGATGCGCACCGGACGAAACTTAAAGAAAATGGTACAAAATGAGAGAAATAAAATTGGACAACACGGTAGAAGACTAACAAGAAAATCAGTATTAGATTGCAAAGCATAGAGGACAACACTAAATGCAGTAAAAAGAGAATTGCAATGATGACGCATAACAATAAAATTAATGTCGGGATCTATGATACAGAATGTCAAAGAAAATAATGATTGATATTGGCTATGAAAATGATTGACGCAGAAAAGCTCGTACATTTATCATTTTACATTTCATTAAAAATTTAAATAAAAGAGGTGTGCTATGAAGTGGTCATGTAAGATAATGAAGAATTTTTCTTTTCACAAGGAACATATTCTAAAGCAAATGAATCACAAAATTTTATTTGCAGGCTTTATTTTGTATCACTGACCTACTGATAATGCATTATTGTAGTCTAAATTACTTAAAAGGTAATTTAGACTGCATTCATGCATTCTTAGTATTGTATTTAGTCATTTATGTATTCTATTTAGAGTGACTCTGGTTTTCTTCAATTTCGTAATCATCAGCAACTTTTTTTTTTCAGCTGTTTCATTTCCCATCTAGTTTTGAACAGTTAGTTTCGTATCAGGCGTCAAGGAGAAGGTATCTGAGATTCATCAGCATTTTCTGCTGCTAATGGAATAGATAACTGAGGTTGAGGTGCGTCGTTTTCACTATTTCCCGCTTCTATGTTGTCAGGCACCAATGTAACAGACGTCTCCAGTTGATCTGCTTTGTTTACATCCCTTTTTGCTCCTTCACTGGATGTAGCTTCAATATATTTTTTTTTCTTTGGAGGCACACGTCCAGGGCATTCTTTTGGAGACAAGACATGAGTAATGGCTTCATCATTTTCAATGTGTAAGCTTTTAACAAGTTTTTGCCTAGCAGATTCCATCTTTCCGTGAACTCCTGCAAAATGAAGAGCAATCAGTAGCAATTCAGATCAATGGCTGATTAAAGTAACATTAAAAAGTGCAGGCAAGAAACTGTAAAACCTTGTAATTAATTTATAGGGTAATTTACTATTAGTAGTCGTCGACATGATCACCTAGTTCCTAGAATTCATCTAATTTGCCCACTATGTGCCCTTCATACATCTTACACGCTTCCTGACCTACGATCAACCAGTTCTTAGAAGTCATTTAATTTGCCCACTATGTAACAACATGACAGACGACAGACAGCAGGCAGAAAAAATAAAAGAAAAATGTGAGTCTTAATTTAAGTCCCAGCTGCTATACCAACACGCATTTTCATAGCCTTCTGTTTAATAGAAAAGACTGCTCTGCCACTCACTCCCTTTCTTACTGCTAATCCATGAAAACGAAAACAACAACAGCGACAACGACTACTTAACCTGATTAAAGCCTTCTTTTCTCTTTATTTATGCTATAAATCCATTTAAAAGTGTTATCATTTAATTATTTCTGGCTTATTTCAAATTAATTGAACAGAACCATCTTATTATTTAACAAACAAGGATTGACACTTAAATATGAGAGTAGTAAGAAGCAATCATTAACTTTCAGGGTGAATTAATTCAACCTGTCAAGATCAATACAGCATAACTGACTCCTTCTTCAGCTGTAGAACACAAGAACACTTCTTCAGCTTTTGGACTGCACCCACACTTTTACTCCTGCAGCAAAACAAGAAGCTTCAAACAATTATTTAGAATGTACAGGTATTTCTCTCATTATATGAGAATGTTGCAAGCGGCAAGCGTCTTTCTTGTCGAGAGGTTTAAAGTATTTTGCACGCTGAATTAGCCACGCAATTTTTACTGCACATACCTGAATTTCTTATCTGTGTGTGGTCTGCCACATATTCTTGACACCAGCAGTGATATTCATTTTCAACTTAAGCACTGTTTACATACATAATTTGTTTTAAGTGGATTTTAAGGATGTTCTAGCAATATTTGAATTTCAGGATAGTCAAAATTTTAAATATTCCGCCCAAATGGGATAGTAGTTAGTGACTCTGACTTCCATACCGAAGAGCCCGGGTTCGAATCCCAGAGAAGGCATTGATACTTGTAAATTTATAGTGTCTGGGAGGCATGGGAACATTCTAAACACGTGACGAACCGAAAGTCCTCTCGATAGGTTGGTGGTAGGTGATGAAGGGGAGACCCTCGAACCTGTATGCCCGAGATGCTCTTCCTCAAAATTGGGGAGAGCAGAATTGAACAAAGTCCTGTTGTCACCTGTATGGTGCTCAAGCCTATTGACAATGTCTGGCGCAATCTTGCACTTCTTACCATGATTAATTTCGTGGGCTTATTCTGATATTACTGTCAGACAAGTGACATAAATCACAATAACAACAACAACAACATAATTTTAAATATGACTGTGTTGTTAAAAATACTTAATTCAGTCCCTTCATAGTAGTATCAGCTGTATGACACTCCACACCGTCTTGCTATACTCAAATTATTGATACGTATGCAGTAAAGCAGTGAACGAAGGTAACTAGATGATGTCTTAGTTTATCTTAGCGCCATTTCTTGTTTCAGAGAACTGGAGCTCGAACGATACGACGTCTTGATATCATATACCAGGCTCTAATTTTCGCAATAATTAATCTGATAATCTAAATATGAAAGTTTCTGAAATTCGGAGTCGCAGAAGTCTTGACAGTCCGGATGTCAGGACATTATACTATACCAGCTTGCAAAACGTAAGCAACAAATTGATTTTTCAACACATAACCGTAAAATTGTTGAAAAATATATTTTGAGATCAGTTAAGTGAAATGAAAACTTAGAAGAAATAATGAATACTCAAATATAGCACTACGACGTCAAAGGGTACTTCAGCGCATGCAAAACGCCAGGAATAACCTCGCGCAATGCAAGGCTGGAACATTCCAAAACGTTTAACGTACTCGTACAGCTCCTTTCAGTATGGCAGAGTACAATCAGTAATTACCATTTCAAACTAGTAAGAACGTTAAATACAATGCTATTCAACGCGCATCTCAATATTTAGAAGCCAACTGTGAACTAAAAAAAAATAACTCTGAGAACTGATGCTCTCTCCGGTCGTAGGAAAATGTCCAGCACTTCCCCATTTCTCGAAATTACTGGAAAGCATATATGATTATATACGAAGTTACATATAAGAGCCGGATGCGGCTTGAGTAGCACACAGGAATCTGTTACATTTATTCAATTACAATATCAGTTACAGTTTTAATAACTTTTGCAGTACCAATTACAGTTATACCGGCCGGACCAAAAGTTCTTCACTCTTTTTCTGCTACATTATACCAAAATACTATAATTTCATATATAATTTCACTAAAATTATTTACATATACACAAAATTCGTACTACTGTGCTCAATATAGGAAGGGGAAAATTATGCGAATACTTTAAAAGGAACCTAGAGCTAAAGAGCTAGGCGGAAATTATGCGAGAGGGAGAAATACACTAGGAAATGCGGTACTTTAATGCGAAATTCATTTCTATTAGTTGAATAATAAATTAAAGCTTTTCTGCTTCAAACTGGCAACATCTGTCAGTGCCTGGCTAAGTAGAAGTTTAATGCTAGTGAACCGTAAAATGACGTGACACAAAAATAAAAGCAATATAGACATTTCTTAGATAGAGAGCTCTTTAGTAATGGACGTATTCATGCAAAAAGTATTGTAACTGTTTTTGAAAGTAAAACAATTTGCCTTTTTATGACGTCATAAATATAAATACAACACACACTTCTCCATATCTTACTTAAAGTTTAGTTCTTCAAAGTAAAAAAAAAATCCTACTTTATATATATATGTGTGTGTGTGCGAGGATAAAGGGTAAAATGCAAATCTCAGTTTTAATTTTCATTCAATTCCATGGTTCGTTTTTCTTACAGTAAGTAAATTTTCCAGAGAAACGAAGAATTGTGAAGCATATCTCTGTCGCTTTCATTACAAACATCACAACGAATGAAAATTTCAGCGGTATCATATTTGCATATTGTTCTTGTTCATCAAATTTGCATTTCTTACTAGGAAGATTCTACTCAGAACTCAGATATTAGGAAGAGTTTCTGCCCCAACTTCGAAGTGAATTCACTTAACTTTAGGAAGAAAATCTCCGACTTCAGCAAGGAATTTTAAATCTGTTTCAAAATGTTACCTAGGCAACCACATTTCTTATTTTCCTATTATTTCTTTATTATCTCCCACGTGCAGATTTAAATTTTCATTTGATGCGGAGTTTGAATCTGAGGTTATTGTACAGATAAAGAAGTAAAATGACGTATATTAGGTGGAGAGACATGATTAGAAATAACAGATTCCTTTTTCTTTATGCACATCTTTGATCATATGAAACTGCACTATGGATTCCTAATTTGCTGTTTTCTGAAATTCAGCGTAGTTTGATGAATTTTTATCTGTGATTCCGTTCTTTTACCATTGCCTCCGGAGAGGATATAAGATTATATGCTGTCACAAGAACAAAATTATACATACATATATATACCCACACACTTACCAACATTAAATATACTTACCTAGCCTTTATTTTCGCAATTGTTGATCGTAGGCATATACTTCCAGTTACAGAAGTGTTTTAAATTTACTCAAATATTCACATTTTGGCAATTTCAAATTAAAAAAAATTAATTAGTAATAATTTTTGTCAAATATCGAAATATAACTTTTAATGCGATCTCCCTGCTTCTATACTTATATCTCGGTATCTTCTATACTCGTTCTGTAAAAATAACATTTCAAGAAGTCTTACTCCCGTACAGCAAAATTTGGCTGATATGTAATTTCAAAACTTGCTCTTTTTGATTTCCTTTTCAACTTGCCTTGAGGTATCAGTTAAATTCTGTGTAATTCGAGGAAATAAGTTTGCCTGAAGTGCAACATACTAAGTGTAATTTAATAGGCCTTACAAAGAAATTCTGTTGTGTCGACATCAGATTTTTCATATAAGCAGAAGACACGAATTATAGCAGCGTTATTATGCTAAGGAGTTACTTCATAGTATTCATTATGACTAGTTACGAAAATTATTAGTTACAGTTGTTTGTAATATACTGGTTAACATGATTAGATTTTATGACTTCGTCTTAAATGATTGTATGCAATTTTGTTGAATAACTTATCATTCAATTAGTGCAAATATCGCTCTGAATTATGAAATAATAACTGTAGAAAGCAGTCCGAAATTCCAATTAACAATAATGACGTCAAAATTCACATAGATGCTAAACTGATATCAAATAGAGCAGCGGGACACACAAAGATAACATTTCATGTGTGGGATTCCCTCACAAGTCACAATCTTCGATATGCTTCAAAGTGTAACATGATGTGCTCTGGTATTAAAGAAGAAATAATCTATTCAGCAGTGCTTCCTTTTGACATTATAAAAGTCATAATTTTATGACCAGTATTAAGAGATTTTAATATTTACACTGTAGCTGTCTTCAAAGCATCTCTGTTTCAAAAGCAGACTAACTATAATTTTCGCGGCTCCACTGACATTGTCTTACACTATAACGAATCAGAGGACGTAAACCAGAATCAAAAAATTAAGACTGCATGAGTGAGTCAATCTGAAACTTTTTCCAGACAAAGCAAATACCCAAACATTCTTGGCTAGAAATACTCTTGCCACTAGCAAGATCCTCCTATCATGAGAATAATAGCTGCACTTTCCTTCCAGTTAGCTGCATCTATGTATTAAAATATTGATTATTAGTGTGTTATTAGGATATGCTAATTGTGATTTTCATATATGTATTATTAATGTGGATTTAATTCAGTATGCAGTTACTAAACAAAATAAAACACAGTCTACACTAATTACTACAATGGAGTCATCCTACTAGCACACCTGCCCCTCAACGGGTAAGTTTATCGAAACTGTATTCTTATACCTTTGGTCGCGG